TCACTGCATTCTGTAGAGTGTTATTCCAGCTCCCCACTCAATTTTCTGAAATCTCAGACAAGCTTTATAAATTCTGCACTTTGAATGGATGTAGAAAAGACTGCAGATAAACAACAACTTATGTAGGGGGATTGCTTTAATTTCTGTTTTTCACCTGAGCCCAGTCACTTCACTGGGTTGTTGTAAGGGTTTACTAACACTTTATTATAATTAACACTTCAGCCTCAGCGATGTACCGCTATTCCTTTTTCAGCCGGTGTAAGGCTTTAAACAAGCAATCCTGGCAGCGAATTAGCTTCTGATATAGTCAATATTCCCAGCAACTACCAGCAGCAACTACCAGCTGGAATCTGGTATCACAGGTCAACGCACATATTGGCCGGCAAACCATGGATCAGACTAGTAGACCCCAGATCAGTAAAAAGTACCTGCTATTCTATCTCAAGGGATGATGTTAATCCCTTGTGATAGCAATAAAGTTAAAATAAAAAAATGAAAAACAGTGTAAAAATTAAATACATTTTAAAAAAAAAGTTATAAAGGACCCCCAGCCACTCCGTGCTCACATGCAAAGGTGAACGCACATGTTGGTCCCACACGCATATACAAACAGCAATCACACCACACATGTGAGGTATCACAGCGAACGTCTGAGTGATGCAGGCCATAGATGGGTCGAAAATCAGCCGATTTTTCTTTAAAAAAACGAAAAATCGGTCGTTCAAGCGGCCGACGTTACCAGCAACGGTAAAGAAAAAAAATCGACCGATTTTCATCCCGTCTACAGCCGGCAAAAAGTGTCCCTGCAGAGAGAGCTCCGCTATTTCTTTGACAGTTCCTTGACATTTATAGCGGTTGCAACAATGTATTTGTATCCATTTAGGATACAGATGTTTTTATTCGGAAACAAATAGATACAATGTTGTAACCGCTATAAATGTCAAGGAACTGTCAAAGAAATAGCAGAGGTCTCTGCAGGGACACTTTTTGCCGACTGGAATTCCTCTTCTTCTTCCTCCTCTTCTTCTTCCTCCTCCTCCTCTTCTTCTTCTCTCCTCCTCTTCTTCTTCTTCATCCTCTTCTTCTTCATCATCCTCTTCTTCTTCATCATCCTCTTCGTCCTCTTCTTCTTCCTCCTCCTCTTCTTCTTCCTCTTCTTCATCATCCTCTTCTTCTTCCTCTCATCATCCTCTTCTCCTCCTCTCTTCTTCATCATCCTCTTCTTACTCTTCTTCCTCTTCTTCTTCCTCCTCCTCCTCTTCTTCTTCTCATCCTCTCTTCTTCTTTCTTCTTCTTCATCATCCTCTTCATCATCCTCTTCTTCCTCCTCTTCTTCTTCATCATCCTCTTCTTACTCTTCTTCCTCTTCTTCTTCTCTTCCTCTTCATCCTCTTCTTCTTCCTCCTCTCCTCTTCCTCCTCTTCTTCTTCCTCCTCCTCCTCTTCTTCCTCCTCTTCTCTTCTTCCTCCTCCTCCTCCTCCTCTTCTTCCTCCTCCTCCTCCTCTTCTTCCTCCTCTTCTCCTCTTCCTCCTCCTCTTCTTCTCATTCATCCTCCTCCTCTTCTTCCTCTCCTCTTCTTCCTCCTTCTCTTCTTCCTCCTCCTCTTCTTCTTCTCCTCCTCTTCCTCCTCCTCCTCTTCTCCTCCTCCTCTTCTTCCTCCTCATCTCTTCTTCTTCTTCTTCCTCCTCCTCTTCATCCTCTTCTTCATCATCCTCTTCTTCTTCTTCATCATCCTCTTCTTCCTCCTCCTCCATCCTCTTCTTCTTCCTCCTCCTCTTCATCCTCTTCTTCATCATCCTCTTCTTCTTCTTCATCTTCTTCTCCTCATTCTTCCTCCTCCTCCTCCTCTCTTCTTCTTCATCATCCTCTTCTTCTCTTCTTCCTCTTCTTCTTCTTCCTCCTCTCTTCTTCCTCCCTCCTCTTCTTCTTCATCATCCTCTTCTTCTCTTCCTCATCCTCTTCTTCTTCATCATCATCCTCTTCATCATCCTCTTCTTACTCTTTTTCCTCTTCTTCTTCTTCCTCCTCTTCTTCTTCTTCTTCATCATCATCCTCTTCTTCATCATCCTCTTCTTCCTCTTCCTCCTCCTCATCTTCTTCCTCCTCTTCTTCTTCATCATCCTCTTCTTACTCTTCTCTTCTTCTTCATCATCCTCTTCTTACTCTTCTTCCTCTTCCTCCTCCTCTTCTTCTTCCTCTTCTTCTCTTCTTCCTCCTCTTCTTCTTCTTCCTCCTCTTCTTCTTCTTCCTCCTCCTCTTCATCCTCTTCTTCATCATCCTCTTCTTCTTCTTCATCATCCTCTTCTTCTCCTCCTCCTCCTCTTCTTCTTCATCATCCTCTTCTTACTCTTCTTCCTCTTCATCCTCTTCTTCTTCTTCCTCATCATCCTCTTCTTCCTCTTCCTCATCTTCTTCATCATCATCCTCTTCATCATCCTCTTCTTACTCTTTTTCCTCTTCTTCTTCTTCTTCTCCTCTTCTTCTTCCTCCTCCTCTTCTTCTTCTTCTTCATCATCCTCTTCTTCATCATCCTCTTCTTCCTCTTCTTCTTCCTCCTCCTCTTCTTCTTCTCCTCCTCCTCTTCTTCTTCTTCCTCCTCCTCTTCTTTCTTCCTCCTCCTCTCTCTTCTTCATCCTCCTCTTCTTCTTCATCCTCCTCTTCTTCTTCATCCTCCTCTTCATCCTCTTCTTCTTCTTTTTGACTTCCTCTTGCAGGTCACTGCTCATGCGCAGATTTTTTTATCGGTAAAAAGATCGGCCGATTTGCCCATCATTGCCGTGAAAATCGGCCGATCTGCAAAATCGGACGATTTTTTTCCAACTTTACCGATAAAAAAAAAAATCTGCCAAAATACCGAAAAACGGCCGAACAATTAGCCCACTAATGATCCGAAAACTGGCCGATTTTATTTTTGGCCGAAAAATCGGCCGATTTTCGACCCATCTATGGCCTGCATAAGAGCAATATTTCTAGCACAAGACTCTCCTGTTTAAATCTTAAGTGGTAACCTGTATAGGCTTTCAAAGCCTCACCTATGGATAATTTAATGTACCATAGTTTGTTGCCGTTCCATGGGTGTGCGCAATTTTAAAGCCTGCCATGTCTGGTATCTATTTACTTGGTATATCATCTTTTATATTTTACTGAAAAACTGGGTATTATATTGTGTTTACTAAAATTAATTAAAGTGATTTTTTTCCAAATAAATTTTGTTTGAAAAAACCGCTGTGCAAATACCAGGTGACATAAAAAAAAATTGCAACTCCCACCATTTTATTCTCTAGTGCCTCTGCTTAAAAATGATATAACATTTGGGGATTCTAAGAAATTTTATATAAAAAAAAATGCTGATTTTTACATGTAGGAGAGAAGTGTCAGAATTGGCCGGGGGCTGAAGTGGTTAAATACCAGTAGATAAGAGGGAATGTGCACTGAGAAAATGTGAAGGTTGCCATTGCTAATTTCTCCTTCTGAAAATGCTACCTTCAATACTTTGAGTGTGGATTTACACATGTGCGGTGCGAATTGAAGCTCCGTTTTCACAGTTAACCGACAAAGTAGTTGTTCAGCTGTGCAGGTCAGGATCAGGTCAGGATTTTTCTTGTTCACAGCTGATGACCTGCAATTAAGAAGCTTTCCCATAGAAAACAATGAGACAAAAATTTGCACCTGAGCCAGAACTCACTGCTCAGAAAATTTACAGGACTCCTTTGCAATTTGCACTGAATTTGCCCTCAGGTTGTACCACATATGTGAACAGGTACAATAGAAACCAATGTTATTTTACACAACATGCAAACTGGATGTGGTTCAAAATGCATCCAATTCGCATAAATGTGAACTGGCTCTGAGGCATGGACTTGGAAGCAGTATGCAGATCAAGGTGTACTAATCTGCATGCTTGTTCTAGGCTCAAGGACTGAGAATGCATTAAAACCAGAGAAGGTAGGCAAGTAGCATTGCTAGAGTTCAGCAATGGCCGCTCCTGTATTTTGTCCAGTACAGAGTCCCTTTAAATATAATATGGACCAAAGTTAAACACCTTTCTATTGAACTGAGATATACCAAAATTTAGCCGGGGCTACAAGTCTGCATTCGGAGGCTAACAGTATCTGTGCATACTGGATATTTTAGTTAACCAATGAGGCCAGCAAATTTTTAAAAAATATAATTCCGGTAAATAAGGAAAAGAGGGACGAAGGAAGCTAAAGTAAATGTAGGTAAAAGTGGATTTTTATACAGCGTTTTCACAGCTGCTATCCAGAGTTTGCTAGAGCTGTGACAAGTGAGGAGCCTACAACTACCTCTATGCACAGGTACTGCTAGATGGAACAGCCAGAGAAATGGCATGGGCCACTTTAATAGCTTATATCGTTTTTCATTTTTTGTTCTGTAATGATGGGTTCCCTTTAACCTCTTTACGTCGGCCGCACACAAATGTGCAGCCTTCCGGCGTCTGGGCCTAGATGCTGACCGGCCACACATTTGCGTTCAGGTAAGAAAAAACATATGTGCTGATAGCGCGCCCCCAGCACACATGTCCGGTACTCACGGAAAGGTCCCGTTCTGCTCTTTCGATCGGGACCTTTCCCGATCATGTGACCACCGTGACGACGTGTCACATGATCCCTAAACCATGCCCAGCCTTCTGAAACTCTTAAAGGGCCTGGAGGCGCCGGCGGGAAGGGGTTAAGCAACACATTTTATGTTACAAGAGCAGCACTTTCTCCCCACTTACTGAACAGTGCCATACTCTACAGTTATTTGTGTGTACAATACAGTTCCAAGACACACTCACAAGTGTCAGGCGAATTGCTTTGAAATTGGTGTGAATGGAGGGGCTTAAGTCTTTATTGCATGGAGCTTTTTCTCTAGGGCTGTTGTGCAACAAGCTGGAAACATTAATAACACAAAACCACACACGCGTAATCCTACCCAGCTCCTCGTCTTCCAGATATACACACAATTACAGCCAATGTAACTGCAGACAAGAACATTACCTCTCGTATATCTTCATTTCCTTCTTTGATATTTTCTGTGGCGCCCACGACGAGTTGATGGATATTGTCAATCTCTGTTTCCTGGCAGAAGAAAGGAAGGGCAGAAAACATTAATGGTCCACATTAATTGCAGGGATTCCACATGCCACAAACACAAAACACAAGCTTATTACAACATACACACTTCTTGAACTTGCTCCTGCAATGAGAGGCACTCATTCAGGAAACAATATCGTTTTAGTCATTATAGCCACTGCTTAACTGTAGAAGCTTCTCTAGCAGTGCAGCCAGTTCATTATTCTGTCAGATGGAGGATGAAAATTCTGTGGAAAAATCTCAAGCCCCTCAAAACACCCCTTAAAAATAGATCTAAACACGATAAATAAAATTTCATATAAACTTTAAAGGCCTATGTCATTTTGAAGGTTGTTTGAACCTTTTGATTTTGAATTCTTTTTTTCTCTTTAACCACTTGCCCACCAGAAGGTTTACCCCCCTTTCTCACCAAGCCATTTTTTGCGAGACGGCGCTGCATTAATTTAACTTACAATTGTGCGGTCATGCAACACTGCACCTAAATGAAATGTATGCCCTTTTGTTCCCTTAAAATAGAGCTTTTCTTTCGGTGGTATTTAATCACCTCTGTGTTTTTTATTTTTTGCACTATAAAAAAAATAGTGACAATTTTGAACAAAAAACAATATTTTTGACTTTTTGCAATAAAACATATCCATAAAATTAAAAAAAAAAAAAAAAAATCAAATTTGTCATACATTTAGGCCAAAATGTATTTTGCTAAATAAAAAAAATATCCCAATACGTGTAAATGAATTTTTTAAGTCCGCAAACGTGCAACTATAACGAAAAAACCCGTAAGTGTTCACAAAAAAGTGCAAGTGCAAAACACCACACAAAAAGTGCACTTAGGGGTGTGCTTTTGTCCTACCCCCGAAGGGGTTGAACCGTTACCCTGATCCCCCGGGGCACGAAGCTCCTGACAGGGACAAGGTTCCCATTTGGTCCTCCTGGCCAAAAGGCCTGGTGGACCACCGTTCCTTATGCCCAGCCGAAGCCGGACATCCAGTACTAGGTCAGGGGGTTCTCCCGAAGAGAAAACCCCCTAGGGACAGGGGAGGAAGGAACCGTATGGCCACACATCCTCCCCCTAGACGTCAGGGTAGGCCCGAGGACCCACACCCTCCATCCTGTGAGAAAAACACACACAAAAGTATAAGGTGACAAACGTGGGGTGAAAAAAAATAAATAAATAAATAATTAAATAAATCTATAAAAATAATAAAAAGTGTCGTGCCCAAATTGTGCACTGACCAGACCCTGAGGCCTGTAGCAAAAAAATTGCCCAGAACTTGACCAAAAGGCCCGGTCCTAGAGGCGCAGTGCAAAAAGTGTTTAAACTCGGTGACCATGTGCTCATTCACAAACATGGGGTCCCACACCCAAGTGTTACTTAGAGCACCCCTGAGGCGAACTACTCAGGGGGCACCTAGTTTGCGGACTCTCTGCCTTCCCAGCCCCAGGCCAGACCAAGGTAAACCGTCCAAATCAGGAGGCAACTGGGTCCTTCAGACGTTCCAAAGGAGAATTACTCCCGAGGCCCCAGAACAAATCATGGCGCTCCCCGGTTTCTGTCCTCCCCGTAATAGCCATCCAGACCCCCATCATTCCAGTGAGGGTACTATACACCAACCATCCTCCTACCAGAATGGTCAGTAGCACCCCCACTGGACACTGATAAGAACAGATACTACACTTGATCTTAGCCAAAAGGCCGAGAAGCGATGTAAATGAATTGGTTTAGGTGAAAGTTATAGAGTCTACAAATGTCAGTATATATACTGAAATTGAGTTTTTTTTTATACTAGTAATGGCGGCGATCAGCGACTTATAGTGGGACTGCGGAGGACATTCTGACACTGGGTGGGAACTGCCACCGACATCCAGTGACATAAATACAGTGATCAGTGCTAATAAAAAATACTGACACTGTACTAATGACACTGGGCAGGAAGGGGTTAACATCTGGGGCGATCAAAGGGTTAACTGTGTGCTGTGTGTGTGTGTTTTACTAGGGAGACATGCTGTGCAAAGAGACACAGAACAGCACGTCCATGCTGACAGCAGAGAGACCTGTGTTGTTTACACATAGGGCTTTCCCCGATGATCGCCGAGTACCCGGTGATTGACATCTCTAGCCGCCAATAGCGGCGCAGGTATGTCGGCACCGCCCACCTACCTGAAAATACAAATCACACATATATATATATATATATATATATATATATATACATACATACATATATATATATATATACACACACACACACGTGATTTTTGCGCATCCCTGCTGCCCTGTAGCAGTAATTCTGCTATAGGGCGGAGGGCAAGCGGTTAAATCTGCAGCATTTTAATAATTCCTAATGTTCCTGCCATGATAGCCCTTGTTTAGGAACTTACTTTTATAAGGTGACAGCAGTATTCCAATTGTGGCCCTACATTGTCACCCTCACACGTGTCCCTGGTGGAAATGACGAGCAGCTGTGTAGACATACTGCGCAGACATGTTGTCACTGTGGTGAAGACAGTCTACAGTAGGGGTCTCCAAACTTTCTAAACAAAGGGCCGGTTTATAGTTCATCAGACTTTAGAAGAGCCGGACTGTGGCCAGCTGGAGTAGAAAATCCCCCAGTGTCAGTGGGGGTAGACAATGTCTCAGTCTCGGTGCTCAGTGGGAGTGAAAAAAATTATATAGCGCCTGTGGTTAGTAGGAGGAGGAATGGTGTTCCATCATTGGTGTCAGTGGAGGAATGCTGCCCCATCATTGGTGTCTGTGGGAGATTCAGTCCCTGTCGCTGGTGTCAAAGGGAATACTAGTGCCCCATTGTTGATGTAGGTGGGAGGATCAGTGCCCCATCACTGCTGACAGTGGAAGGAAAAATGCCCCATCACTGCTGTCAGTGGGAGGAATGCTGCCCCATCATTGGTGTCGGTGGGATATTCAGTGCCCTGTCGCTGGTGTCAAAGGGAATACTAGTGCCTCATTGTTGATGTAGGTGGAAGGATCAGTGCCCTATCACTGCTGATAGTGGAAGGAAAAATGCCCCATCACTGGTGTCAGTGGGAGGAATGCTGCCCTATCATTGGTGTCGGTGGGAGATTCAGTTCCCTGTCGCTGGTGTCAAAGAGAATACTAGTGCCTCATTGTTGATGTAGGTGGAAGGATCAGTGCCCCATCACTGCTGATAGTGGAAGGAAAAATGCCCCGTCGTGGTCTGTGGGAGGAATAGTGCCCCGTATCAGAGTGAGGAACAGTGTCCCAAGGGGCACATCCAGGGAAGCAAAGCGCCACGGTTGGAGACCACTGGTATACAGCAATGATTTGCAGGCAATGCTGGAGCATGTGTATGTAGATAGGAAGTGGATGAAATAGGCTGGAGGAGCAGCACATAGAAACAAAAAATAATAAAAACAAATTTTATGAAAAAAAAATGTCAGTTGTTTACTAACACAGTGCTTTAGCAAATGAATTTGGTTAGATTTACTTTAACTGTGCCAGAACTCTGTAGCCAACTAAACACTTCCTCTACTCTTTTTTAGGGGTGCATGGCAAGATTGCAGATGCAGACAGAAGAGAATGCAGAGAAAATGTTATTTCCATCATTCTTGATCCATCTATTCTCTAATTTTCAGTAGAGAGGACGGTGCTCCCGTGTAAAATTACTTCGTCCCCCACAATCCCTACGTATGGGCCAGAAGCTGTAAGAATGATGCAGACATGTGAAAGAGACAATACTGCTGTAACATGTAACAGTAAAACATTTTTTTTTTTTTTTAGCTGTATGGCATTATTTTAGGTATGCTAACCTCCCAAGACCTCCTGCTCTCTAGCTCTGTTGTCACCTCCAAGACTTCTCCAGAGCTTCTCCCATCCTCTGGAATTCCTTTTCCCAATCTCTCTCCGACTATCTCCTACTCTGTCCACTTTTAGACGATCACTGAAAACTCACCTCCTCAGAGAGACCTATCATTCCTCCACCTAACAACTGTACATTTATTTTCTCCATCAGCCCATCCCCCCCCAGTTATTACATTTTGTATCAATGGACCCTCCCTCTTAGATTGTAAGCTTTAACAAGCAGGGCCTTCTCATCCCCCCGTATTAATTTGTACTGTATGTGAACAGTGTGCCCTTATGTTGTAAAGCGCTTCGTAAACTATTGGCGCTATATATAAATCCTGTATAACATTAATAATAATCATTACGGTTTTCCTTTAAATCTTTATTAGCTGCTAATTAAAATATTATTTCAAAAATATATCAAAGCAACACATTTTTATAGAGCATACTTTTCAGTATGAGGGCCACATCTTATATTTTAAAAATGTGCGGGCTAGAAAAAAAAAATCAGTTTTATAAATAGCCACCCTAACATCCTGGAGTGCTTATTAGAATCCCCTCTTATATCCATGTGTACCCATCAGAGCCCCCCTCACATCTATCTGTACAAGGATCATCTGCTTTACATAGACCAGGGCATCCACTGCCGGACAGCTGGATTATTTTCCTGGACAATTGCTGGGGCCAAGTAAAAATCTTATAGCGGGCTTGATGTGACCTGCAGGCTGTAGTTTGGAGACCCCCCTGCTATAGAGTGTAAGTATTGCACAATATTTACTTAATATATATGGGAAAGTTATGCTAGTTCTATTGTATTTTATTTTCCATTATATTTTTAGATCAAATTTTTTTTACAGAACATAGACAATTACTATATATATATATAATATATATATATATATATATATAATATATATATATATATAAATATATAGTATAACAACTATCGTTTTCAGAAAGTCATGTAACCTAACTCAAACTTTAACTAAAGGCAAAACTTTTTTTGTTTTCATTTGTGCTCCTGTTAGCGAGATCCATTCTTGTCCTGTTTACGGTTATCATCGAAAAGAAAATGAAAATAAATTCTTTGGTTGACATCAGAAACACTAATACAGGGGAAATCTTCCAATAGGGGAACTAGCTCTGCTGACTCTGGAGACACACC